TCCCATATTTAATCTTCATAAACCAAGCTTTATCTACGGATCAAATACTATAGATTATAATTCATTCTATTTTAATATTACTTAAAAACAAGTTTAACATAACGAAGTCGCGTAACGTAAAAATCAGGTCACCAGGGGTTACCCGGGTCAAGCAAAACCGCGACTCTGACCCGACGGGTTTTATTAATTTAGGACTCGTGTCATAAATATAACCCGACTCGAATTACTTCTCGAGTCGTCGGTTTTAATGACACGGTCGATCGGAGCACTAGTCTCCTGATTTACCAATTCTAAAAAACTTACTACCGTCCAGAGAAATATATCTGTCACTAAAAGAACGAGGATAAAATGACAATGAATCATCAAGTTTCTAGGTAGACAAAATAAACGACACTAAAAGAAGGTCTGTAAACGTTCTTTCCAAATTTTTTATCGGTATAAGAATCGAATATTCTTTTTTAATTTTTTAAAAAAAAAAAAACCGAACAGGGGATACATAATCGGATTTTTGAAACTAATTTCCAAATAAGATATATTTACTATTTAATTGAATTGAAAATATTTACAAAAGGATTTTTTTTTTAATCAATAAACATTTATGTTGAGTCACAATCAATTGCTGTTTCGTAACATGTTAATAATTTTGTATATTATAAGACGTCCTCATTCTCATAGAAATAATAAGTAAAATAGATGTTAATTTGCATAAAAGAAATTGGTGCCTGATCAAATGGGTCGTGTAACCTTCTGGAATAGCTAAACAGGATCAGGATAATTTTATTGCATTAAAAGAGACGTTAAAACAATCCATTCACATATTCGATTGTTAGCATCCTATTAAGGCAGTTTTTTTTATTATAATTAATATTACAGATTTGACCGTTTCACACAGGAAAATTAGCAATAACACAACTCAATGCTTGCAGCCAATAGCCCCTACGAAAATTCTCATGCAGATTTGTTGTGCACATAATAGGAACGTTGACCTTTTAAGCTTAAATCATGCAGAAATCATAAATTTAAGAATGAAATCATGCCACAAATTTTGTTTATTTATTTTTCTGATTTATATGGAAAATGACTAATTGATTATAGATTTCTTAAAAATGAATAAATCAAATTAAACTGGTAAATTTGTAGAATGGACCGTGCGGTTACACTAAAATTTTCATAGGTTTTGATTGACTCCAATTTAATCAAATGTTAGGATGATTTTGATTGTTCATATTAAGAAAAGTGTAAAAAGCAAGGGCCATTGTATTAATAAAAATAATAATAAAATTTTATGGATGCTATAAGTAAAGAAACAAAATTGACAGATTTTATATCATCTTTAATTTCATCTTCACAATAATGATTTAGTAACAAAGTAAGAAATGCTTTATTTATAGAGAATTTGAAACAAAATTCACGAATTAAACATTTATTTTAAAATGTTATTATTTTATTTTATTTTTTTTTTAAAAAAAAAAAAGTATATCAATATTTTAAAATTTATACCAAATTTTATTCAGCTAACTTAGTGATATTATAAAAAGTTAGAAACTAAAATTTTATTACAGTTATTAAACGACGTAAAGTTTGATTTATATTGCTTCTGAACGAAATTTTTTTTTGGAACGAGAGTGGCGCAGTCGTTTTTTTTTTGTAAAATTGTATTATCGTTACTGATATCAACCTGAAACAAAAATTATTCTCCTTGAAAAAATGCTAAATGCGAAAAGATAACACACCGTTACACATCGTTACACATTATATTTGATAAATAAAATTTTTTTTAAAAAAAATTGCCGAGTTTGAAATTCATTTTTTTTTAAAAAAAAAAAAATAAAGGAATGGTCTAGAAATCCGAAATCGAACAGAATTTTTGCAATTTTAAGTGCATTTCTTTATGCACGTTCCGGAAATTACGGACGTTTTCCGAACATCCTTTCCGAATATTCGTCAAACGTCACGTGTCCAATATAAATACTGTTCTCTCGTATTGTATAAATTACAAACCGATATAGAAGTTATATTGATTTGATTTGGTAATTACTTATGTTATGGAAATTCTTTGTGCAATAGCCTCCTGAATATCCAAGCATTAAATAATCAATTGCATACATTGATTTACATATTACATTTCCTATTTCTTGCTCATTCAAAAAATTTTCATTGACATATTTTTCCATCATGTTTGCAACATTCCATTCTAGCCTCTCAAAAGACCTTTTTCAAATATTAAACGATGCTGATGATTTTAACGTTATCATTAATGTCGGTGAAGGCAACAGTGCAAGAGAATTTCGAGCACATTCAGTCATTTTACGCGCGCGATCACCATATTTTAGGAGCGCATTTTCGGCTGACTGGATTACGAAAAAAGATAATATGATCATATTTAACAAACCCAACATTACCCCAATCGTTTTTGACATGATTTTAAGGTAATTTTGAAATTACATTTCAACCTCATCATTATTCAATTATAATTTAAAATTAATTTGAAATCTTTTTGAAGATATATGTATACAGGTGAAATCAATTTGTCCAAGCAAAGTGGCGAAGATGTACTCGCATTGTTAATTGCATCTGATGAATTGCTGCTTGAAGAATTATATAAATTTGTACAGGTTCACTTGCTTGAAAATCAAATTAGCTGGATTCAACAAAATTTTGTTCTCGTCCTTCAAACCGTGTTCAAGCTTGCTGATTGCGAGGAATTGCAAGATTATTGCTTGGAATCAATCTGTGCAAATCCACAGCCATTTATCGCTTCGAATCATTTCCTATCACTTGATAAAGTCGTACTTCTTGGCTTGCTTAAAAGAGATGATTTGCAGGTGGAAGAAATTGATGCCTGGGACTGTTTGATCCAATGGGGTATTAAACAGACCCCTGAATTGGAGAGCGATAGAGCTGGATGGAATCAAAATGATTTTAAAGAATTGGAGAAAACGTTAAATGAACTCGTCCCCTTCATTCGGTTTATGGAAATTTCCCCAGTTGAATTTTATGATAAAGTTCGTCCTTATAAAGATGTTATTCCCAGTCAAATTTATGAGGAGATCATTGAATTCCATTATAAAAAGATCTTACCAAAGAAAATAACTTCGCGACCTCGTTTGGGTAAATTGGGATCAACGATAATCAAACCAAAACTTGTAAACGTCATATCAAATTGGATTGACAAAAATGATTCTGCCGTACTTTCATCCAATATTAAATACAAGTTTAATTTAATTTACCTGAAAAGTCGAGATGGTTTTGATTATACGACATTCAATAATAAATTAAAAGGACAAGGTCCATTTGTAATATTGATAAAAGTTCGATCAAATAAGATCTATGGTGGTTATAATCCAATCGGTTACGACGGAAGGTGTCAATGGGTCACGTCATCAGCGAGTTTTATCTTTTCTTTTGAGAATGATCAAGATATACAGAACATGGAAATTGGAAGGGTCATTTTTGCGAAGAAAGCTGTATATGAGCATTGCAATGCATATTTTAATTTTGGAAGTCATTTGTTTGTTAAAGAACGAGACCTTTTCCTTAGTAATCCTGGACATTATGATAATATATTTACTAACGTAGAAATCAATTTGCCAATTGAAGAGATTGAGGTCTTTAGCGTGATTAAAAAGTAATTTCTTTTCTTGTTCTCATTTTATTTTTATTTCCTTTACTTGATTCTCTCAATAAGTTCAAAATTTATTTATTATGATAATTTGATATCAAATTAAGTCTAAAATTTTATTTTATTTTGTCGGTCAAAATTTAAGTTAAACTTTAGAGATGTAATATAACGAAACCAAAATTTATCTTAAGAAAAATTAACATAATTCGTATAAATTTTATGTAAATTCTTGTACTCTTTTAACTATGAAAATTATAATTTTTATACTCCTTGACAATAAACTATTTAAACTATTTAAGTGAAATATTTTCTGAGAAATTCGAAAATATATTTACAATAAATCTTATTGCACCTTTATTTTGATAAAAGCACAACGTATTTTAAGCACGTGTAGATAGTAAATAATATTAGAAGGGCAAATTTAACCTAGTCCCCGGGTTTAGGTTATTATCCTAAACCCATGTATAAATAAATATTTTTTAAAGTATATATCACGTGACATACACAGTTGCGGTCTACCCTCTATTAGAAATACAACTTTATGAGCATTTTATGCTTACAAATCAATATTTGTCCAACTGCATTACAATATAAAGTGATATTGTTATAATGTACAGTATTTGACCAATCAAGAAAAAAAAAAAAAAAAAAAAAAAAAAAAAAAAAAAAAAAAAAAAATTTTCCAATCAATGCAAAAAAAAAAAAAGAAATTTATAAAAAAGGTTTAATAAAAAGTTTGGGAATGCAGTAAGGTTATTT